TACTGCGAGGCACTATTTTCACCAACTCATCGCTGGGGTGCACTACTGCCACAGCCGTGGTTTTGCCCACCGTGATTTGAAGCCGGAAAACATGTTGCTTGACGCGAACGGAACTCTGAAGATCTCTGATTTTGGCCTCAGCAACCGGCAGCAGGACTTTTTGCTTGAGACAGTGTGTGGGACGCCCAACTATGTCGCACCGGAGGTTTTGATGGAGCGAGGCTACAATGGGATGTCGGCCGACATATGGAGCTGTGGCGTTGTACTGTACGTGATGCTTGCCGGACACCTTCCCTTTGAGGATCGCACCATGAACGCGTTGCTTGCAAAGATTGAACGTGGTGAGTACCAGATGGTCCGCCACGTATCCGACGCTGTGAAGGACTTAATTGCGAGGATGCTGACGGTGGACCCGAAGAAGCGCATCACCATGGAGGGCATCATCGCCCACCCATGGTTTCAGGTCGGCTGGGAGCAAGTGAGTGGCGCCATGGACCAAAGGGTTGACTTGCAGCGACACGTCGTTATTAACAAAAGTTTAGTTTTTTTTTTTTTTAGCATGCCGTCGATCTTTTTTCGAGTTTGTCGTGATGCCGTGGCGAATAGTATCCTCGGTTAATTTTTCGTTGAAGGTGGGTCGGACGAAAGGGATGCATATTGGTACCGTAATCCTGTTTGGGGGGCGAGATGGCGGCCGTGGGTGGACCCCCACTGCTAAGGAACTTAGATGTCGGTGCAGGGGCGCAGTTTTTGTTTGAGGATGCCCTTGTGGATGGCGTGGAGACTTTGAGGAGTGTGGGCGCTAACCAATGAGAAAAACGGCATGTGGATCTCAAAGGGTATGTCGATGCCAAGAAGGGTCTTTGGACGTACGCAGTGGTCGTCATGGAAAGTGAGCTTTCACTGGTTTTGAGCATCGAAATGCGTCATAAACGGGGATGTGGATCTGATTTTCACGAGTTGTACGCCAAGTTTCTCGCAGTTATAACGAGCAGATTGTTTATGTATGACACTTCTTCGACGACTGAGTCAAAAAAAAATAATAATAATAATAGTAATGTGTGAGAAATATGCACGACTACTATATTTTAGTGACATTATTTAGTAACCTTTTTCGTTTTTGTTTTTGTTTTTGTTTTTTAATTATTTTTTAGTTGCTGGGCTCCGCCAAGCAAAGTCAGGGTTGGATGGCCGTTGTAAACACGTTTATTGGTCATTGATTAATAATTCACGGTAATATACTCTCCATATTAATGCTCTGTTGTGGTATTTGTTCTCCTATGTCGTATTAATGCCAGTTCTTGTTAGTGCTAGTGCTTTGTTGTGAGCGTACGGGGAGAGGTTCCGTGGAGGGCGTGAGGAATGGGGCAGTTTAGCGCAGCAGGCATGCGCTAGCATGCATTATAGGTAATTAAAGCGGCTATTCCCTTTGAGAGTTTTGCTTTGAGTGGGTGTGCGTGGTGCGTAGCTTTCTTTGATTTTGTTGCACTCCTTCTGCGCCTGCCTCCGCGATCTGGTGTTTCGGTCTCGGCTTTAACTTTGCGTTCTTTCTGCTTATGATGCCACTAGGATGTGTGTAATGCAGTAAAAAGGAAAGCGGAAAAAAAAAGAGAGGAATGCGCTCTACTTTCTCTCCTTCCTTCTTTTTCTTTCTTGTTGTGTCTGTCTCTGTGGGGTGGGGCTTTTAGTATTCACTTCTGTACTTGTCTCCCCCTTCCTATAACTATAGGTTTTTCCTCATGAGGCCTTCGCTTTCCTCGTTGAGGGAACGGTCTGATACGTCGGGCTGCGCGCAGGCATCGCCTAGACCACTTGCAAAGCTTAGGCTGTGGATTTTTCATTTCAGCTGCCGTGCCTATGAGCTGGGGCGTGAGGGGGGGCGACAACGCTTGGAGGAGGGACTGGGCTGCCAGCTTGCACCGAAAGTGCTGTTCCGAGTGGGCTTGACAGCAAAAGAAGGCGGTGGCGACCGAGGAACATGTGCGGCAAGCGAAGAACCGTTGCGGTGCCCTGACGTTCTTCTCAAGTTAATGCATTCCAGTACCGGGTCAACGGAAGGGGATGGGCTCATGCATGAATTTATGAGTTGCGCTTTGCAATACCTTCGGGCCGCGTGTGCGTTCTTGGAAGCTTCAAGACAAGCAGAGGCACGAGGCGGTGACGGTGGCAGACATGAAAAGCGAGAGTTGCTTAATTGTCCGGCATCGAACGATGACCCGGATGGGGGTTTGCCACACTCCTCCTTTGGTGGCATAGAAGTTGCTGGACGCACCGAACAATTCGTGTCCTGTCAGCATTCGGCTTCGTCAGAAACTGCATTACTTTTACAGCCGGGAAGTGCCCCCTTGTATAGCAGTGAGGATGGCGCAAGCGCGTTTGCTGGTGATCACACTCGCCGCCTCGGTCTTCGTGGTGACGAATGCGCCGTTGCAAATATGCAAGAAGCTCGGATGATGCTTCAGTTTTTTATGGGCACCGCGTTTTCGTGTCCAAGTGAGCCCCTCGCTAAAGCTTTCCAGCTGATTATTGCCAGAGAATTGGAGCAGTCCTTGCGCCCTTTCGAGACATGTTGTGGAGTTCTGAGGTTTCTTTCTCCTCTTGACACGACGCCACAAACTGTGCATGCAGAGAGAAGAAGAAGTGAGAAGATGGGTCATCTTTACTTTTTAAATGGCACACTGACATCGTCCAGCTTGATGGAGGCGTTGTCGTCTTCTACCGAGGCTGAAGATAGACAGATACAGTGGTTTACATCACCCTCTTCGGCGTCGGCACTACCAACTTTGATGCTGCTCTTGACCGGGGGCTTGGAAGAACTACAACAGGCATGTGATGCAACAGCAGAGCCAGGGACAGCGGTGGAAGGGGAAAAATCGTTGGTAGCAGATCTTGCAAAATCCACGCCTGTTTCATATTTAAGCCGCAGACGGGGCGGACGCCCCTCGAAGAACAGACACTTCAGCAGCACTCTTTCGGAGAAGGAGCTTTCAACTGCCGAGAAGGGGGCGGCAGCATCTGCATCGAAGCAAACGGTATGGGATGCATTGTGTCTGTGTCGTCTTGCCATTCCATATTCTGTACTCACAGATAGGTGTGACTTGTTGTACCGCATATTTTTCAAAATGGGTGAGGTTCCGCGGTATTATAACGTTCTCTCCATATACCCAGATATATTGCGTGCACATCATGCCACATTTCAATTCATCTTCTTTGAGGAAGGTCCACTCCCTATTTGCGAGCGTTTGATGATAGCTTTGATGACAGCCAGTCGCCAAAAATGTGAGTATCTCTTTTCGCGTTTTGCTGCTCTTTTATTGCATTTTGCAGAAAAGCAGCAATCAAGTGAAGTGGTTGCGGATACTTGGCTACTCCAAGGACCACCGCCAAGGCTGCAGGCGCTTCAACGTTTTATAGGTATTGCCACTCATGTCCCCTGGCAGATGATGCTGAATGACATTCATGGGGCCATGAACGCTGGGTGGAGCATACCTGGTCTTATCCAGGCATCGTGCATTGTGGCGGAAACACTTTCCTTGTGTAGCTTTGTTATGGGTCTTTTTGTGCCCAACGATATATGGGTGTCAATAACACTTCCACCTTCCCTATCTGCTGCTCTTTCCTCTATTTCGGCATCTGGTGAGGTACCCCACCATCAAAGCCATGTTGAGTTTACACGGTACACTGGTATCGACGGCATTGTGAGTGAGAATCGGGTTAAAGGCTCATCCAACAACGCCTTTACGCTCTCTCACGGGACTTTTAACTGGCATGAGCATGGCGGCACCGTAATGGAGCAATATTATCCAGGTGCTGCAACACTTATTAACAATGAGCTTGACGCCTTTTCCGCAGTGGTTCGAAACCTAAACCGCTCGGACTGCGTTGGTCTTACGACGCCGGAGTACTCTCCATCGAATGCATTTTGGTTCCTGCGCCTCTACGTGCAGAACATTATGGGCTTTATACCAGATGATTATCCATACAACAGTATTAATAAGGTGCTTCGGCGCCCAGCCAAGTTGATTGCTCAAAGCTGTACGATGCGTCCCGAAACACTTCTAGGTTCTCAAATGCGCTTATGGGTTCAGACGGCTGGCGATTTGGCGACGGCTTCTGGTGAGTTGCCTCCAGTGAAAGAGCCTATAGCAGAGGCTGCAGAGAAGCTGCAACGGCCTGAGTTGGATATGACGGAACAAAAACAGCAGCTTATCGAGTCCCTTACCTCACACAAAGCGCCGTTTAGGCTAAGCATGCCGGGAACTGAGACGACCCCCCGTCCCCAACCTAGTGAGGATGTGGTGGAAGCGGCCATGCGGCTTCATGAGGAGCGGTTGATGTTTCTTATTGTGTTGGCCACGATGGAGGCGCGCAAGGAGGGATTATTGGCGCTTTTGTTGTATCCGCTCTGGGAACTTCTCAATAATATGTAGCGGGTGGTGGTAGTGTCAATCAAGCGCAGGGTGAGAAACGCGGGAAACTGAAGAAACGTTATTCATCATTTTTTTTTTTTCTTGGCTTCGAAGGGAGAAGCCGATAGATGGAGTGAGAGAATAAGAGGAATGGTAGCGTGAAGGTGGCGCGCAGCAGCACGTCGAGAATGTAAAACTTGGCCTCCACCGGCACTTGTCACACCGAACGCGGTAGTAGTGGTAGTAGTAGCAGTGGTAGCGGGGGCTGTACAGGGTGAAGGCGAACGAAGCGGCAGCCTCTCCGCAGAAGCCGAGGTGTCTCCTTTGCGGTATTTTATCGTGACAAGAGCGAGACTGAAGAAGAGGTGGTGGGTTGGCGTGCGCGGTGTGTGAGGTCGTTCCGTTCTCTGTTGGCATAACTATGCAATACTCCATGACTTCCAGTGGCTGTTGTCGCTTCCCTCGCCTTCTCGCTGTTTGCATGGCACATCACTGGGCATTTGTTCGCAAGCCACTGCAGCAGTACTTCTTCTTTGTGCGCCTGCTTCTCCTTGGGACAGTTTGCGTATTTGCAGTTGGTATGACAGAGGAGTTAGCTTGGCTTTTTGGCTTTACGCTTTTCTCGCATGTTCCCATTGCTGTTAACACCAATTCGCTGCAAACGGCTGAATAACGCAAAACGAATGAAACAGATGCAAAACGGTGAGCGGCAACGATGCCAACAAAAAAAAAAAAGATTTTGCGGCCTCCCCTTTCTTTCCTCTTTCTCCTCCGCTTCCAATTTTATTTATCTCAACAGCATCTTCGATTGGCACGCTTTTGTGTTTGCATCCTATCCTTCATCTTTTTTTGTTAATTTTACTTTTGCATGCGTTCATGTGAATGCCTGTTACTCTGCGTGACTGCATGCGTGCTTTGTATTGTGGTCTTTCTCATTGCTCTTCCTCTGCGTATTGTTGTTTCTTTTTTTTTTTTTGTCTGCTTTCCGTGCGCTGGAGAGAGAGGAGGAAGGGAAGTGATCAGACTCTCAGACACTTTGCGAGGGAGAGCCGGTGCACTTTGTCAGCAGTTAGGGCGGTTGCAAAAGGCAGAGCGCGAAGCAGGGTGAGACAACCGTAGCGTGGTCCACGCGTTGTGCCGGGACACGCTTAACGAGAGGTGTCAAGGAGGAGCGGCCGCCGAACGTAAAAGAGGCTGAAGCCACAACAACAACAAGAAGAAGAAGATTCGTCTGCGCGTGCAGATAATAAATAGAAAAGAAGAAGAGAGATACGGAGAGCAAAGCTGTGGACGCAGCGGAGAAGAGGAATCTGGAAAGAGAGGAGTGTGTGCCGCAAGTAAGAGGACTGGCGAGCGTCAGGGAAGTGTGTGTGTGGGGGCCTCACTGAGATTTGTCACCGCCCATCTCGCATTTTTGTGCAGTGCGACGTGACTCTTGCCGACCGAAGCCCACGCCGTTCGTCGGTCGCCACTGTTAAGGTGGGGCGCGGGACCCGGAAGCGACAAACAGAAAACAAACAACAAAGGCGGTAGCGGGTTGTTTGAACGGCCTTCTGTGGTAATCATAATCATAGGGAAAAACGGCGGCAAGCAGGCACGCGGAGATCAACAGCATACTAAGAACAGAAGAGAGTGTGTTTTGAAAAGGGAGAGGGAGGCGCAGACACCAAAGGGAAAAAAAGAGGAAGCGGAAAAATAAAAGCGGAGCGACCGAATTTTTTTTATATTATTATTATTATTTTCTGTATTGCCGGTATGATCGACGAACTTGAACACGATGGAGAGGAGGACTTCATCTTCAACGAATATGCCATCGATGACACGCTCGATCCTTTGAGCCGTCTGTTAAACTACCACTCCTCAGGATTTTCGCTCCAGCGGGAGTTTCTACTGCGTGAAATTGGCGACACGGTGAAGTTTTCTGGTTTTGATCAAAGCGCCAAACTTATTGTTCCTATTCTTACTGAGTTTACTTCCGACTGTGAGCCTTCGGTGCGACAAATGCTGGTGGGGCAGTTGCCAGAGGTGGCCAAGTTTTTCGTGGAGCAGGGGGGCGATGCCGGGTATGAGTGTTTGCTGAGCCGGTTTCTTCCCATTGGATTTGAGCTTCTCATAGACAAAAACGTGGAAGTCGGTGCATCGGCCTTGACATCGTTAACAGAACTTGCCGAGCTAGTCAAACCAGATGATGTTCGTGATCACTTGCTTAATGTTGTTGTTATGCTGGCCCATGATGAACGTGCGGAGGAGTACCGTGTTGTGGCAGCGCGTTTGTTTAACGGTTTGGCTGCAATTTTTGGAAAAAACTGTTGTGTAAAGGACGTATTGCCTGAACTGGAACTTCTTGCGAATGATAGCAATTTTTCCGTCCGTAAAGCAGTTGGAGAGAACTTGGGGGTAATCAGCAAGGTGGTGGAGGAAGATACAGCGGAGAACGTTGTGCTTCCAATATTCCTGAACCTGTGCAAGGACGAAATTTGGGGTGTCCGTAAAGTGTGTGTCAGCAGCATTGAGGGGATTGCCCTTGCTGTTGTCCCTGAGGCGCGTGTTTCGAAGCTGTTACCGGCGTATCTTCTTTTGCTTCAAGACTCGTCGCGGTGGGTGCGCAATGGTGCCCATGACTCCCTTGGAACCTTTTTGCATACTCTGAGACCGTCGGATTTAAGCCCGGGGTTGCTGAAGTTATATACAGATATGGCGTTCCGATCGGAAAACGGTGATACGGTATACAGTGAACCATGTGCCTTTGCATTACCTGCGGTGTTGCAGGTTGCAGGACGGGAACGGTGGAATGAGGTGGCAGACGCGTATGCTACGCTTCTCAAGGACGTAAAGTGGAAGGTTCGCAGATCGCTGGCGTATTCTCTTCATGAAGTCGCTCTCATTTTGGGTCAAGAAATTACCGAATCTGACCTTGTTGCCGCCTTTGAGTTGCTTCTGCGCGACTTGGATGAGGTGCGGCTTGGGGTTGTGCTGCATGCTGATGTTTTTCTTGGTGTTGTGGGACCGACAGTGCGGGAGCGGCTCGCCCCGTTGCTATGCCATGTTCCTTTAGAGAGTGAGAATTGGCGTGTACGCAATGTTGTGGCGCAACGTATTGGGGATGTTGGTGTACTTCTTGACCCCGTTAATAGCACGGTTCTGAACATAATCATCAACCTAGTGGTTCGTCTTCTAGACGATAGTGTGATGGAGGTGCGCCGGTCGACGTATCGCTCGGCTGCAATTTTACTGCAACATCTTGCCAGTGCGGGAGGAGAAAATTCGTGCGGCGGATACATACAGACGTTAGTGCAAATTGCCGATCTTCACAGCTTTCGCGAACGGCTGATGTTTCCCTACATCGCTGAGGAGGTGGCAAAGCTAGGCACACCCTCCTTGGTGGAGCAGTACTTCCTCAGTGGACTGCTGAAGCTGGCGAAGGACGAGGTTGGAAACGTGCGGCTTGCCGTCACCGCCGTGATGACGCGGACGTTCCTGGTTGACCCCTACTGGTCGACGAACCCAAAGATCCTGCAGGTCAAGGACCTCCTCGATGAAAAGAATTCCAGCGGGTAACGCCGCGTTTTCTCCCTTCCCACTCAACCCATTCTCCACAGTTGTGGCGAAGGTGGACCTGAAGAAGTTCCACAAGAGGATTTCTACAATACGGTGAGAGGAATAGAAGACATACACACACACACACGCAGAAACATATAAACACACAACGACATCATCATCAAGAGAAAAATAAATAAATAAACGAAAAGTGGAAGAATAAATGAAATCTTCCACAATCTGCACACTAACATTTTCGAATACGAAGAGGGAGGCAAAGAAGGCAAGAAGAGAAGAATGCACTAGTATAGGGGATTCTGAGATGACAGCGCCTGTTACAGCGGCAGAGCGGAGGGATACCGATTTTGCTTTTCATTGTTTGCTTACTGACAACTATTATTTATGGTGGGCAGAAGGTGAGTGAAATTTTACGATGTAGAAAGGCAAAACAAAAAGATGTATATATATATATATATATGCAAAGGAGGGGAAATCCGCGATTTGGCCGGTTTACTTCTTTTCCTTTTTTTTGTTTTATATATATATATTTGCGGCTCACAGTTGTTTCCCTTCTCCGCACGGCTGTTACTCAGAGTGGGGTGGTCTGTGCGTTGTGGGGTGACACATGCGGCTTCTCGGTGGCATGCCCCGATGGAGTGGAGACGGAGGGAGGGAGGGAGGGAGGGAGGGAGGGGGGAGGGGGGGGGCGAGAAATTTCTCGTATCCCTCGCAGGGACAGTTGTGACTTCAGTGAAGGGATGAATTGGGCCAACGGACGAAAATGATGGGGACATCCGGCCGGAAGTAAACACAGAACGAACATGCAAACGGAAAACAAAATATTAAAATAAGCGCCCTTCTATTTTTCGGTGGTACTTTTCCTCTCATGACCATGTTAAGAGGCGCGATGCCGTATGCGACGATTCTGTACGGTACGCCCTTATTTCTGTTTGTGGTACTCCATCCTGCGTTGCGCTCTTTTTGTCTGTCTCAGTTGACTTTTTTCTTGCATTCATCACGTGCGTCTGTCGGTCGCCGCTTCGACACACTCCATCAGAGGTTATCAATAAAGGGGCAAATGGAACGGGGTTTTTCCGCCCTCACCAACGAGGCTGACGTAGAGGGAAAAAAAAGGAGGGAGGAGAGGGCTGGAGCTGTTTGCTCCTTGACCGTAAAGTGTTGTTGTTTTGCCATGTACGAATACGCGGGAATTGCGGTGGAACAGAAAGCCCTTTAATGGATCCCATTGGTACCCATTTCACATACACTTTTTTTTACCATATCCTTTAACTTCTTTGTTTTCGGTCTTTCATGTATGCATTACATGTGTTGGTGTGTTCGCAGTGATTGGCAGGAGGGGCGGGTGGAAGGTGAAAGAGAAATATGTTGCGATATGTGTGACTCTTCGTGTGTGAATTCGTGTCTTTACTTTTCCTCGCTTTACCTACATATATATTTATATTCTTTTGTGTGTACATGTATGTGTGTTTTGTTGATTCAAGGGATGTCGTCTTAGCTTTGTCTACTCAAGGCGGTACATTGACTCTGCTGAGTTACATGCGAAGTCCCTACATATTTTTTCCCTCTTTTTCTTTGCCTTGTTTGCGTTTGCGTATTTATTTGTCCCATGTGAGTGTGCTGTGCATTCACCAATGCTGTTGCATGAGGAGCGGACGACAACGACAACAACAATCAAGTAATAGGAAACAGTCGCCTTTGTATTGTACCGTACCGGGACGTCGCAGCGAAGCACTAAAGCTCACATAGGCGAGTTTAGTGGAAAGGTGCGGGCCCCTGCAAAATTCTTTTGTTGGCGCCTATCTTTCTCTCCATCTCTTTCTCTCTCTCTCCCTCTCTCTATCTCTCTTTATCCCTCTTTGCCTCTGCCATAACTGACCCTATGAACGCAAAGCGCAGGAGTCCTCTCAGTTTGATGCAGCAACGGCAAAGCGAAAATAGGTTGCCTTTGCTGCCATCTAACGCACCCGTCCGTGCGAAGAAGCGGTCCTCCGCCAAACAGCGGAACCTCTCACCGTTACCAGAGGTGAGTGGAAGAGGACCACAGTCAAAAGAGCTACGCGAGCCAGCGGGAGACCCCTCTATGGGCAGAGCCTCGTGTGGGACCAAAAAGATGTTGCATCTTCAACGGGCACCCAAGTCATTTTTGCATGGGAATAAGACGGAGGCTACCGCTCGGCGGAATCTGTTATCGAGCGATAACGTGACACCGCCACCTTCATCCGCAGGATTGAAGCCCACGGGTGCAGGTGAAACTAACTGTATCAAGGCCAAAGTGCAGTGCGGGATGCGAAGACTTAGAATCATCCGTGATGTTCCCATTGAAGCTGTAGCGTCTGAGCAAGTTGCACATATTACTTGCGACGCTGTAACTCAGAAAGGAGAGGCTGCAGCTTCCTGCACCAAGGAGCAAAAGGAGTTTGAAAACGCCATCGGTATTCTCAACCGTATGATGGAGATTGATGCGAAGAATAATGACTCCAGAGCGTGGGTGACACGTTTCACGGAGGGAACAGCAGAGGCACGTCTGCGCAAGGAAGAATTGCTACCAGTTTGGATTATTGTCAGCATGGACTCTGTCTTGGCGATTGATTTGAATGGTACGACGCAACATCGTAATTACGTTGGTCTTTCTGCATCTGAGGTAACCCGTTTCCCTCCCAGTAGCTGCATTGTTTTTCCCTTTCAGGATGCACTGAAAGACGGTGAGGTGCGACTACCGGAGAATGTTTCAGACGTTGCGACAATGATGATGCCAGCGGCAAAGGAGATTCGATGGGGTGTCCCAGTCGGGGTGCTGTTTATCAACTCAATTGAGCGAAATTCCATTGTGCGTGATATTCTTCAGGTGTTTATCCCTTCGTTTCTTCAAAAGATATATCCACACGGGGTGCCCTTGAAAGGCGCTTGGACACCTACGGCGTCGGCATCGGAGGTAATGTCCACAACGTCACGCGTAATAAATATTCCAAGAGGTGTGCGGGAGTCTGTTGTGTCATGTATGACACAACTTGGTATTTCAAACGTAAGCCCCTTTATGGGGAGTGGTACTCGTCTTGGAGACAATCAGGGATTCCATGAATTTCAGCAACGTGATAAAGTTTCACAGCGTCTATCGGTTGCGGAGTCGTTGACGGAAAGACGTGTTAATGACATACCTCAACAGCCCCGGAGGTTAGGAGAATCCCCTCCAAGTGTGAGGAATGGCTCTTCCTCGCCATGGGAAAGCCGAGGGAGTCAGCTCCTATTCACCGCTCGTCTCGTCATTTCTAACCCTTTCTCTTCGTCTATGGCGTGCTCTGTTCCATGTCACTCTGTACTCGTGTTGACTCCGCGAGGTCCACTCGAGCTCGTTGCAGAGCCACCTTCGTCAGCTGTTACAGTTAAAGATGTGAAACTGAGTCTGCTTCGCTCTGGTCTGGGACGATCCTTGCGTCTGCAGAAGGACATGGTCCGTTTTACGTACGCGCCAAGTCTTCCTATGGCAGACGATGGCGAACTGATCAATGCCCGTTACGCTGTGATGCGTCTAAAAACGCAAAATCCAATGTAATAGCGGGCCTCCTTCTCACCTCCACACTCACTTCTTTCTCTCCGCCCACAGAACACGTGAGTGCGTGCATCTGCGAGAATGTCGATATGGGGAAAATTTTACATTATGCTTGTCTGTGGCTTTAAGAGGGACAAAGGCTCACAAAGCGCACAAAAAACAAAGCAACGATGACATCGACACACGCAATCAAAAGACGAAGGAAGTGAAGATGGAGAAATGTGGAATCACACAAACAAGAAGCAGAACAGCACGTCAACAACATAATCCAGTGAAAATGCACTTCATTTCGTAGTTCTCTAACCATCATTTTTTTCTCCCTGTATTTGCGACAGTTTCTTTTTTTTTTTTTTTGTCGTGTGTGTGTGAGTGTGAGCGTGTGAGTCACCCCCTTGAACGAGATTAACCCTATTCTGCGTGGTGTTGACGGATGCTATTTAGTCTTACAATGGGTGTTTCGCCGCATTATTATGGTATGCACATCTCAGGCACTCTTCATACAGAAACGAATGAATCACACCTCACACTCCACAAACAAAAGCGGTGTAAGCATCTGAGAAAAGAACGGTCAACGCTTTTTAAATTTGCTTCTATGTTAAATAAAAGTCATTAGAGTATTAGTGGGGCGCACGGCTCGTTGCGCGTTGTTCACGTGCAACATGGTCGGGGGAGCAGAATAGGCATCTGTGTTGTTGGAGCGTGTGTGTGTGTGTGTGTGTATGGAGGATGGGTGGTGCCTGCCGTTACATAACTTGCCGTCGGCTTCTTCTTGCCGCTCGCCGTCGTTCTTTCACATTTACGTTCATTTGGTTTTGTGTGCATTTACCCGTCTCTGGCTCCTCTTTTTATTTCTTGTGGTGCCTCTTGTGCTTTTTCATCCGCTGGACAACATCCACAACGCGAAGAATACGCCTGTAAGCTCAGAATACAAGCAAGGAACGCCTCCCAGCAACAACACCAAGAAGGATGCAGGGTTTTTGCACCCGTGCTAGAACCCTTCGTAACGTTTACAGTGCCGTCCGGCAACAGTCGACCATTGTCGACGAGTTGAAGGGGGCGCTTCTGGCGCGTCACAGAGTTGATGCTCCAAAGCTCA